CGTGGTTTTACACCGGGCGAGCCGGCCCATTCGTGCGAAGATGTTAAAGCGGGCTCTACCACTTTCAAATTTAAATGTAGTTATTTAATATTTCTATTAGTTGATATTGAAATTTTAATCGCTTAAACAATCTTGTTTCTTAGACAAGAACTTTTGTGTCCCTTTAAGTGTAATAAATGTTTATAATCAAATAGAAACTAGACTAGGGTTATTTTTATAACGATAATCGGTTATAAAATGTACGAGTATAAATTTGTGTTTCAAGCATTACATATTTAATGTTCAGAACAAATCAAGCTACGAAGGTCGGTACAGTCGCTACGAGGTCACACGAGCTACGCCAGCTCGGAGACTGCGGTGCGACGCTGCGTAGACCTTAGAAAACTACGAATGCCATCTTTTTTTGTAATGTAACTATTAATTTATTTTAAGTGGGGTAATTAATAATAGCACTCCTCTAATAGTTGTAAACGTTCTAATAGCATATGTCCCAAAATCTAAGAAGCACGCTCTTTAAATAATGTTTTGAAAAACCAGCTGATTAGTTCTCCTGTTACTACAGGGCGATTATAGTCAATTAAAATTATTTCTGTTTGAATAAACATAATTTACAGTCGTTATTATTTATTTTATTGCACATTTCTACTTTCACGTCCGTTGTCTATTAAATTAATTGCAATTCATGGCTTAATATTTTTGCTAGAACAACATAAATATGAATCATAATACAGAGCTAAAACCTAAGAGTCACAGTATTTTATTACGAGCGTATAATTATATAACGCGAAAATCGTTAGGTAAAGGACGAAGCAAGTTTGCGCAGTCAGTTGACAGTAACGATGTGGCGACTTGAAGTTTGAAGGTCGAAACGCTATGATTTTATCTTAAGGAGATTGATATCGAAGAGATACAAGGTGACATAGCCTGAGCATAGACTATAGTCTATCCACACAACCAAAAGTTCTTCTAGCTTTATGTACAAATTCTCACTTGTGTTCATATATGCATAATATACGGGCCTAGAGCCTAGTGTAGGAACCAGGCGATCGACCACAATTGTGTTAAAACAAATTTTGTAACTTTATAAGTAAATTTTTTAAATCTTTGAATCCTTTAAATATAGGGTAGTTACAAACGTTTTTAATATTATGATAATCCCAGTATAGTTATTACGTTGCACGAGTGCTTTAAAACAAGTTGTTCGATGGTTTTGCTCGAACTAAATACCTAGAACTAACTAAAACATTATTGTAATGTGCAACAAAGTTTATATTAAAACACTGCGTAATTCGTTGTAACCAGAGATATTTAAAAATATACAGACGTAGACCTTGTTTTGATATGTAATAAAATAGTTTACTAAAATATTTTCTTAATATAGTGTTACAATTAAAATATAAATATTTGAATATCATTTAATTATACAATTATTGGTAATTCATTTATATAATACAATTAATTATAGTGACATGTGGTTTTAAAACTATCAATAGATAGCGATCAAGATGGTCGTGTGAAAAATGTCTGAAGTGAAGTGTTAACTATGCCTTCTCTATATACTTTTTTAATATCTCTGGTTGTAACGGAATGTTAAGTTCAAGGATTTTATGTCCGTTTTGTTTTGTGTCTGAAATTATAGTGTTTGTAATAGACAGGTTAAAAAAAAAGTTAGTTAATGATATTATTGTGTTTATACAATATAGGCTTATATCTGAAAAGTAAGTATATTAAAGTTACAATAATCTCTTGATATTATAAAAGTAGCTTGAAATAAATTTATAAATATCTCACACTTAAAAAGCAAAGCTTAAGGTCATATTAGAGTGGTTTCAAGATCATTAGATTAATAGACGACCTCAGAGATGAAATAGAAACTCTAAACTTTAAAATATTCCAAAGGTTAGGTACTAAGTAATTTTCACTCACTCTCCAGTCTGTCCCCCTTAAGTGCCAATTTGCTCCTCTCACTGATGTAGATAAACTTCGAAAGGAAACTCGTATTAACTATATTACTACAGTTATCTAAGAGCATAGTTTACTTCCGTTTGTGTGATAATAAACTGTAAGTAAGAGAGGTAACGCATTCCCCTCTATAAAGAGGTTAGTCTTTGAACTCACAACATAGGAGACGAATGAAATCATGGAAAGATTCTTCTATAATATACGGAGTACCATATAAATGTTTTGGCGTACAAATATCTAACCTTCGTTGCGTGCCAAAAAGCGCAGCGTTTACATGTTTTGAATATTTATATTTTGATGTTGCAAGCTTAATGCAGTGGTTTCTTAAAAAATAACTCGCAATTAATATGAGTATGCTCAACGACACGAATCCAATGCGAATTATAAATGGAGTGGAAAAAGACATCTGCATTACTGAAATGTAATTTACTTAAATTAATGTAAAGTAATACACTTAAGTAGAAATATTAAATGAACTAATCATACTTCATACTAATATTATAAATGCGAAACTTTAGATGGATGGATGTTTGTTAGAGTTTGTAGCCTAAACGGCTGAACGGATTTCGATGAAATTTGTTGTAGATGTAGAGGATAGTCTGGAAGAATACATAGGCTATTCACTTTTATTTATTTTAATTCCACACGGATGGAGTCGCGGGCGAAAGCTAGTAATGCTATAAATAAAAAAGAAAGATACACATCTGAATTTTAAAAATTAATATAATAAACGTAGTATTTTATTTCGATTGTAATTTAGTTTAGAAGTCTTTAATCGTAAAATTGTTCAATTCTCAAAGAATTTGCTTAAACTAGCTTGAAAATTTCACTTTAGAAAGCTCGAATTTTGCATACTGAGCGAACTTTGGAGCATATTTAACGAAGCTCGTATGTGAGAAATCAATCAATGTCGATGTAGCAGCGAGTAGGTACAAGTGACGTGTGACCTTTGCCTTTACAACTTTGTTGATGTACAATATCATAAGACTAACTTACGCCCGCGACTACGTCCGTGTGAGATTTAAAAAAAACAAAAGTGAGTTGCTAATGTGTTCTTCCAGATTATCATCTACATCTATACCAAATTTCATTAAAATCCTTTCAGCTGTTTAGGCTACAAACTCTTACAAACATCTATCATCCATCCATCTATCTAAACATTCTCATTTATAATATAACTAAGATTATTTATATGAAATTTAATAAAATATACGTCTTTTCTACCATGCTAGACTAGTGCAGATTCTTAACTTCAAAAATCTATTTTTTTTTCGTAGTGCAGATTTTTCATAAACTTTTTTATTTGTTTAGAACTTTTAATAAAACCCACTTTAATCCAAAAGTAATTGTTATATGTTGGTTTTCGACATTAAAATATATTCCTGTGTTATTAGAACATCATATAAGATATTAATTAAAGAAAAATTCATTAAGCGAGTCTTGGAAAGTCGAACAAAAAGAATACGCGTTGACAAGGTCAAGCCATGATACATAATGCAGTAAAGAAGCTTCGCTAACTAGATATTAGGAATTTCACGATTGCATTCCCTATGCATCATTTTAAAAATACTACAAACTTGAAATTGAAAATATGCAAATTTTAAGACTTTTTAATTTAGGTTTCTTAATACGTTGAATACAGACTTTTTTGACCGAATTCCCAAAAGGAGGAGGTTTTCGATTCGTTTGTATTTAAATTGCTGTATTTATTATTTACTTCAGAAGGTCTGTCATCGATATATTTGTTAATTTTTTAAATTTTGAATCCTGTAATGAGATTGTAAAATAGATAACTAAAGTTCTTTCTTTAATGTTCTTCAACACGTGTACCTATTTCTTGATATTGTGCAAAAAGTGGAAAATTTGTAAAACCAGATGAGTTTCCGACGTAAAACTTGTGAAGGTTGTTCGATGTCGATCGATTTAGGTCAAACAAGTGGGTTGTTGTGGTCTGAGCTCTTTATAACTTTGATATAAAGTCTTAGCTGTCGAAAACTAAAAAGCCACTTAAGACTTTGTGCCTTACAATTTGTTTATTAAATCAGATATGATTGATTTATTTGAACAACATAAGTAATATAGAAAACACATTTCTCGATTATTATCCAGAGACAATAAACATGTTTTTTAAATGTTTTTTTTAAACTGACTTTAAACCAAAACCTTTACAAAGTGTACGTTGCATTACTTATTGTGGACTGGTTTGTTTGACTCTTTTACTAGCATCTTCATCACAGACCGGCTCTTTTCATTTAAACTTAATAATTTCCAATGCCACTACAATGTACATATATCATCTACGTAATTCTATGATACTTTAATACCAACTGATAAATACTATTGCTTCTTTCTAAAATATCCTCTTTTTCTCTTATCATCAGAGTACGACGAAACAGACTCCGTCCATAACAGTCGATGGCATCTCTACTTACCCGGGACTTGGGTTCGGTCCGATGGGGCCTGTGGTGCCATTGCCCGGGGACCCGCCCGGCACGCAGCTGCGGCAAAAACAAGAGACGACTACAGAGCTGCCAACCACAGCCAAACCGAAGAAGGAAAGAAGTATTGTGATAGCAGCGGTTGAATTCCATCGTGTTGAAACTCCATTTCTAATTGGGCTGTGGATCTTCTTCGCTAGCATTGCTAAGATTGGTGAGTTGATTAATTTGTAAGTGTCTTTTTTAAATAAGCGATTAACTGCATGAAGTTCTATGATAGAACGTGTATAGGAGACTCTTCTATGCTATTGAAAATTACTATTTAACTGAGTAACTATAGTGTAAAAATGATCATTCATTTTACAGAATAGTTCAAGGTTTTACTTATGTTGTATTTCATAGAAAATTAGGGAATTTTGTGAATCACAATTATTAGTATTTTCTAATAAATCATGTCAAAGTAATAAATAAAAGTTTCTCAATATAAATGACGTATAAAATTGAGGTTGAAGGTGAGAGATACAACGGGTTACGTAACTTGACACTAACAAATTGTTTGAAGAAAATCTTTGCGTTGTTATTTATTAATTTTTCAAAGCGACAATAAAATCTTTATAAAATTTTGTAAGATTCAGATCATAACACTTTTAAAGGGTAAACTGAAAATTTTAAAGTTAAAATTTTTTAAGAGACTCTTCGACAAGAAAATTGTCTTTGCTTACTTCTCTTTTAACCTCATATTTTTATTTATTCTACGTAATAAAAAAGTCAATTTGTGTATACTGGCTACCTTACAAAATTTATTCAGTCCCAATAAGATTTCCACCGTTGCCCTGCGACCGTTTCATATCACTGGGGAGACGTGAAAACTGTTTATTTTTCTTATTCTCAACCTTTTGTCCTTTTAGTTCGTAGGCATGCTATATGTAAATGACTTACGGAAACATTGTCCCCAAAAAACATTTACCCTGGAGTTTCATTAGAACATATTATTTCGTACCTCTTTCACATTCTCTGAAAACAATTTATAAAAGAATATTCACTTGGATAAATACTTAGACAATGAAAAGCTGCGGTTACAGATCACATGGATTTATTAGATTTCTTCTGTTTATGAGATAAAATACAACAATAGCTTAATTTATCCTCTAAATTGGCGAAATATTTAGGTAAAAGTACTCAGAAAACGCTATATTTTCTAAATTGGATACGTAGTTTCTATTGTCTGAATCGAGCAGGTAAAAGGAGCGGCCGGTTTGCGACCATAATGACCTAGATTGTTACGATGTCCCTACATCATTTATGACAAATAATAGGATGCCATTTATAACGCCCGGGCTTAATCTAGGGCGAACGCGCCATTCGTTTAACTCGGACAAACTGTTAATTAAAAAATCTGTGTTCAGCAATCACAGTTGATTTGCTTAACTATTACTAACAGTTTTCTTTTTTTGGTGAACGAAACGTCGTTGCAACAGTTTTTTGTCCTCCACATAACTCTATCATACGTCATCTCAGTCATCACTCCCTTTTTGACGCGATCCATCCCTTTCTAGGTCTACCTCTATCTATGTACCCTTCTGTGTTGTATACTTCTAATACAACAGATTTTACACTTATAAAATATACTGTCTAGGAATCTAGCGGTATTCGGGGTGAATCAATGAAAATCAATGAAAGCCTTTACCTGTGTCTATACAAAATCTCTATGCTACTTAATTGGATATTTACAAGGACCAAGGGTTTTTCAGTAAATGGCACACCGTAGATTTCCACAAGTGTACATACAGTTATAAAATGAAATTTAATACCATGTTACTGTTTATTCAAGTAAAGAACATATAAATCACAATACTATTTCATAACATGTTGATGTGTCAACTTTCTAATAGGACAACAACCGGTTTGATTGATTTTTGATCTTCTGCGTCGCCTCACACAGAACATTTTCTTGTACTTCTGCTTGAGAAAGCTTGTACGGGACATTACACGTGCGGGTGACGCATATGTTTCGCAAAAAGGACCATCCGTGTTCCGCTCTTCTAGTAAACAATTAGCTAAAATAGGCTCCGTACGAGTACTGTATGCTATAAACTGAGCAGTTGTCGCTTGAGGTATAAACCCACTGGGTATTTCTCTTCTATGATTCAAATCATTGTTTTGTCCATTAGATGTTGTGTGGGAGGTTTCGTCGATTGAACTGAGGTCGGTCGACCCAACTTCCACTTCTGGTGACAAGCAGGCCACTTTCTCGTCACTTTGCAACGAATCGTTTGTCATTTGACTGCTCTCATTATCGCCCGTCGTCGATGATTTTGAATCTCTCGAATTGTAGCATTTATTTTTGTCTTTTCTATATTTGTTACGAAATTGACAACCAACATCTCTGATGTAAATAACCCCTTCGCTATTATCTTCTTTAAAATCATTTTGTGTATTATCATTACTTGTAGCACAATCGTATTGACACGATTGATTTAACTTTGGACAAGGTGCAGTCGTCGGCTTTAATAATTCGTATGGAGAAAATGATTTCGGAGACATTTTTGGTTGCACAAAGAATGTAGGTGCGGTCGGGTATGCGAAATCGCAAGGTTGATATACTAAAGTACTACCAGTACTTTGCTCATTAACTGGTATGTATTTAAATTGCCCGATTTGACTCTCACCGTTATCTGTATCGTTCACGCTTACAGTGAACTGCTCAAGGGTTGCCTTTGATATCGGTGCACACAGAGGTAAGTTCATACATCGAGGTCTGTGTGGACATTCCGGAAAATATTGACAATTGTTCTTCAAAACTTTAAGTCTCTGACAAGAGGGTACCATGGTGCAAGGCGGATGATGTCTACATGCTTTTGTAACACGCAATACTCGAGGGCTTCTTAAACCCGAATTTCGCGCTCCTTTTGATGTAACGGGCGACTGAACTGAGTGCAACATTTGGCACATTGGAATCATATCGCACTGTGGCTCGTGACCACAGCCCGCATTGTTATTTTTGTCACTAACGTTGTAAGGCACGTATCTATAATTTAGGGTTTTACTTAGTTCAATACTATTGTATCGTCCGGAAGTGTTTTTAGAATCAATGGTCTTGTCTTCATCTGCGGTAGCGACTAGAACTTGTTTATTGCAATTGGGGCAAGTGATTTGACAATGCTTCTTAATGCGTCGCATTATATTTTTAGTTAGGTATTTTGAGTTGAAAGAATCTTCAGTAGTGGACTTCTCTGTAATAGTACCACCACTTTTCTCTGGAGGACTTTCAGCACTGTCGTGTTTAAGAACTTTCAATTTTGCGATTTTATGTTGTTGGGCAAGTATTGAAACATCGCTTATTTGGTCTTTTGCTGTTTTCATACTGTTATTGAGATTTTCTATCGATCTTTTGTTACAGTAAAAATATTCTTGATGGGCATGTTTTTTAGATCCACACGCGTGATCTTTATTCTTTTTTCTTCTTTTATCTATCACGGGGCTACAACTACCCACGTGATATTTTATGTGCTTCCACTTTTGGTCGGTTGTATTTTTGTCTCTTTTATGTTTTGTTTTACGATCGCAGTTCTTCGTATTAAAATTCGAAGATATCTCCGAATCATGAGGAAATAATTTTCTAATTTCATGAGTATAAACAGGAATGGGTTTGTCATTGTTAGATACGGATCCAATGGAATGTGTACGTGCAGGGTACACTTTGTAGTTGGTTTTTAAGTCAACTTTAGGACTGTGTTTGTGATATTTCGTATTCAAAACTTTTTTATTTGTCAAAGTTATATCTGAAATACAGTTCAATGACTTTCTTTTTGCAATCGTATCCAAATCATAGAATATAGTGCTCGCTGAATCTACTAAAGTTTTATCTCCTTTGTTTTTATGGCCCTTCTTTTCATACTTGTCACTTGTCTTAAATGGTAAATTGCCTATTTGATACAAATAATTTTCAATTGATTTTAATTTATTTGAATATTTATCTGGGGACTTATAGCTGTCGTAAATACTCGTATAAGATTTTGTACGGTTTGAATTCTTTTTATCCATACCGCGCCAATTTCGAGTCGTTCGATGAACATCAATTTACAACTGACAACTCACCGAGATTTAATTTATAAAAGGATTATTCCAGCAATATAGAACGACTCCCCAAATGATCTTGGCTTTGAGATGAAGTAATAAAATTATATCTTACATTTTTTGGTCATTTTACAATTTTTATTATTTTTATATGACAATATATGTCATTCTGGCATTCATAACTATTTTGTCAGGAATATGTCAATATTTTTTTTTCTGCGATTTTTGTCAGTGGCCATAATTGTGATATTTTTTGCAGGATTCCACATGGCTCCTAAGTTATCGAAGATGTTTCCTGAATCGTGCCTGCTGATATTTGTGGGAGTCCTGATAGGCGCCTTATTGCTAAGCACACACAGTGTTCACGTGCAGCCATTGACGCCTGATACCTTTTTCCTGTATATGCTGCCACCTATTATACTGGATGCTGGCTACTTCATGCCGAATAGACTATTCTTTGACCATTTAGGAACGATATTACTGTTTGCTGTAGTTGGAACTGTCTTCAATACACTAACTATAGGTATGTTAAATTTAGATATTCAAAAGTTGAAGAGTTATACTGTTTTTATTAATTAAATATTGATTTTCACAGGTGCATCTTTATGGGCGTGCGGCCAAACTGGAATGT